CATGATGAGTTTATCATTATAAACACACACACACACACACACACACACACACACACACACACACACACACACAAACACATACTGAGAACTTGAGGTCAGTGGATTCCACTTCACGGGGCAGATCATACAAGCCTCAGTGAAAACCTTACAAACTTCTTGGAAATGTCACTGTCACTGTCACCCTCAATCATCAGAGAACAAACAGGCTCCTGAAATGCAGACTCTCTACGCTTGCTGAACCACTGGCCTCCCTGGGCCTGAGTCATAAACTCGCTACATGAGACAGGCACCGGCAGACCAGCATCTACTGGCAGACAGTCTTCTGCTGGCACCTGTTATAGCTCGCTGATGGGACCAGCTGCTGTGAATCTTCAGGGCCTGTCATTAGCAGCTTAAGGAAGCTGGTGATGTCTGGGAATGTCATCAGGGCACATAGCCCTTGAACTCTGTTGGAAGGGACCTCACCTCTGACCCTGCTGCAAAGTAGAGGTACTGAGCCTTGGGCACACACCTCACAGCTGAAGGAGGCTCCACCTGACACCTGGTCCTGTGCAGATGCAGAACACCTCCAAATCAAATCATCGAGGAAGAGGAGTAGGTGGCATCCTGGTAGACCCAAGATACTGGACCAAGATTTCTTACTTTTAACACAACACGAAACCCTTTCTTCTTTTTCTTTCCTTTGCCCTAACACTGGCCTGGGAAGGTAATGCCACCACTCATATCTCCAAGGCCATTGCTGAGGTGGGTAGCCTTTGGAGCTGCTGGATTTATCATCAACAACTCCAGTATGCCCATGATGCTGGAGACCCCTGGTGCTCCCATGACGCTAGAGACCCCTGGTCCTCCACGTGACCAGTTTCTCGTCTATTCCCAGTGTCACCATAAACTACAGTCTACCCCCCTTAGAATTCAGAGTCCAGTGCTTAGATCCAGAACCTTCAGTGTCCTGCTTTTACTTTCCGATTATAGCTGTACTCGCCCAACTAGGCATAACTGCCTGCCCCGCCCCCCGATATGTGCTCATGATTATCTATTGTAGATTAGATCTGTCCCCACCATGGAAAGACCTCACCAGCAGCACCCATCTTTGCGAGGAATTTAGAGCAACTTTGTATTTCAGACTAGAAAATCAGCTTCCGGGATACACTAGAAACCTAACTGACCCCTGGCTTGAAGGGGCAAGTGCAGCTGTTCCTGCAAATGAATCCATTAGCAGTGCCACCTCAGAGGGAGCGCTTTGTGTCCCCACAGGACCTCTCTTTGTCTGTGGTGGCTGTCATTCTCCTTGGGCCTAGGAATGCCTAGATGGCTGGCGTGTGCCCGGGCAGTGCCTCTTAGGTATCTAACTGTGCCCCCAGCTATTAGACCTCATGGGTCAGCTCCCCTGAACTTATGTCACTGAGGTAGGAAGGACCTACCAGGAGGCGTTCATGACTCAGCACTCATGTCCCCGGCTAGTCTCCCCATCCCTGGTGAGAAGTGAGTACAGCGAGCCTGTGATCAGGAAACGCCTTCACACGTGAAAGTATTCAGAACCCACTGCTAAAGCAACAGCCGCCCCACGAAAACCCTGAGACTCTCTGGCCCAGGTTGTTGATAACAGGACAGCCCCTGATGGCCTTTTAGCTAAGCAAGGATGTGTCGGCACTCTGGCAATGCCACCTGCGGCCCCTGGATTGACACCACAGGGGAAGGTGAGACTCAGCTACAGAAAATCACTGAACAAGCCACTTGGCTTAAGAAAGTGACTCCTTCGGTGGGGCCTTTCTTTGACTTACTTGATTTTGATTGTTTTGGATCCTGAGGACCATGGCTCAGAAACACACCGGGACATTGGGAATTGTCCGCATAGAATGACCATAGTACTCTCCCCCAGGCATCACATGCATGTTTGTAGCTGCCAACCACCAAGCAAAGAATCTCCCAAAGACCAGAACATCACAGAAGGGGTGAAGAGAATGACCATGTTAAAGGACATGGACCCAAAGTCATAACCTGTGAACACCACAGTCAGCTAAAACTGTGGGAACCCGGAGGGGCTGCTGGGAGTGGAGCCAAGGCCTTAAATTTTGATTTCATCTGTCAGGCTGAGAGTCTAATCAAAAGGGAGGAACTGTTAAAAAGGGGACAACAGGCCCCAAGTGAGCTCAGCCCCACGTCATCAAACTGACACTTAAGACTTAACTGCAGTTTCAACCTCCCCCAGGAATGGAACCTTGAACCAGCCAGTCCCAAATGAACTGGTCAGCACTACTGAGGTCATTTGCCCAATAGCCTTCCCTAAGGGTGAGTGACCTTGCCACAGTCAGCCCTTTGCTGGTAACTTCCTTGTCCCACCCCTTATCTCTAAAACTCCCTTCTTTTGTGCAGCTCCTCGGGGCTCCTTTCTGCTTCTAGGTAGGGTGCTGCTTGACTCATGAATCACTGAATAAAGCCAATAAGACCTTTATAATTTACTGAGTTGAATTTTGTTCTTGAACAACATACACAATTGAGATTTTTCTCAGTCTTATGTACACAAGTATCTTGGAAAACAGGCGTGCGTTGCATAAATCTAAATAAAAATGGTGTGTGCAGTACAAACCAGTTTTGAGATGAGTGCCCTCAGCCTTCCCCACTACTCCCCCAAATGGATTGTGGCCCTAAACCCTCCTTTGTGTAAATTCCAGAGCCCCCACTGCTGCCCTGGTGCTGTAACTATCCAGCCCCCTTGCTCCCAGCTGCACATGCAACCACCTCGAGCAGCCTCAGCCAGCTCACACTCAGTTCCCCCCGCATCCGGCCCCCTTTATCCTACAAGGAGCAAAAGCACCTTGAGCTGTGCTTCCATCCCCTGAAGCGCACGTGCATCCCAGGCACCCCATTGTGGGTGCCAGTCCCAGCTCACCTGGGACAGCAGTAGCAGCAGCACTAGAGGAAGCTGCAGTGACATGGGGCCTCTGGTGCTCATGTAGGCGAGGGGGGGGGTGTGTGTGCCTGAGATGCCCCCAAGTGCGAGGCTGACCGCCAGTCCTCCTGGGCTGTGGTGTCACCCAGAGCCAGGCGCTGTCCTTCCCTGCTGCGGCCTGCTCCTCAATCGCTCTCCTGTCACTCTGTCCCAAGTGCTCTCATCTCAACTTTGTCCACCCCTCTCCCTGCCCGTTCTTTCGTGTATCAGGGCGGGGCTGGCCAAGACTTAACCTTTAACCTTTAAAGCCACAAATGGTTCCTAGGAAGGGAGTGGAGGAAAATAAAAGCTGGCCACACAGATACCGGCAGGATCTGACCCAGGGGATTAGGGCTCAGTCAGAGGGCCATGAAACCAGCAAACCAGCATGCAGGAAAGAGGGGCTGTGTTTCTTGGTGTTTACTTTCTAAGTAGAACAGCCAATGATCTCTTTCTGTAGCCGGATATTTCAACAACTACTCCCTATAACCCCTCCCTTTGTAACAAAAGAACTGGAAAAGGACTCCAAGAAAGGATAACTTTATTAATGAGAAAAGAGAGAGAGAGAGAGAGAGAGAGAGAGAGAGAGAGAGAGAGAGAGAGAGAGAGAGAAAAAGACAAAAAAGGAACCATGTTTTACTTTCTAAAGCACTAACAATCTGTATCCCAACCATGTCGCAGGGCTCTGGGGTTTACAGACTTTTTGAACCAAAATCTCTTGTAAGCTTAGATGAATCTGTTGAAGTTTGGGGTGAAAGCAGGTGGGAGGAGGGACGGGAATGACATTCCCTGTGGGAGGGTCTCTGTACCAACCCAGGAGTCTTGCATTAGAATTTGTTTTAAAAAAAGGACAAGTTGGAATACTATTAGGTCAAGTTTAAAACAAAATCTGAGCTCCATTAAGCCCGGTTACCTTAACATATTAACCTTGTTATCACATTACCTTGTTTAAAATGTAAACTGTTCTTTCGCAGATGAAACAGACCTTGTCTTACTGTACATCCACAGCTCTGTGAAATGTAATTTCAATAGTGTATTATCTTAGTCCATATTAATAGCTTATTACTGAAAAGAGGAACAAATGCAATTTTAAGATCTCTGAATATTTCCTGTGCATAAAGAGAAACAGAATAATTATTGAATTTACAACTTTGTATTTATTTTCAAAGTGTATATCTTTATTCCATGGTAGTGATTGAAAAACTCGACTAGGTTAGAATCATTAATTCAGAATTTATAGATCAGGTAAGCTAAACCATGTTGAATGTTTGTGGGGGGAAATAAACACACAGGTTGAACACACCCAGTACTAGAACGATGCTGAGGGTGAGAATAATTGAGCCAGAAAGACAGTGTGTTGAGTGTCAAAGATGGGGGTTGGGGGTGGGCGGGGCTGGGGAAGGCTAGGGAAGGGTTCTACTTGTACATTTGCTCTAAGTTGAAAGAAAATGGTATTTTACTATAACAAAAACAACCCCATTTTCAACATCCTCAAACATTTAAAAATAACTGAGCAAGAAGCCGGTTTCCCACAAGGCAACCCTTCTCAGTTAGGCTGTGACTCAGTCAGCTGGCCCTTGGAGCTTCACCTGTGACCCCTCATAGGTGAGTCTGAACTCAAGTTTCTCTGACTCCAGGGTTCGTGTGTCCTTAGAAGTGCAGTAATACTTTGCGGCCACGAGGTGGCAGCTCCCTGCTCAATGTAAGCTGATAATGAAGAAATGGGATTGCTTGGGAGATCAAAGTTGCTTGATTAAAAGGAAGGTATGAGCTGCAATTCATTATTTAAACTCAGCATTCTCACCTTGAGGGTAGAGAGGAGCCCAGCTGACTGCAAGCTCTCGGGAATTTTTTATAACAATAAACATGTCAGCAACGCTTCTAGGGAAGGATGGATTTTGTCCTGAATTACCCATGTCCGCCAAGGTTCCTGCAAACGCCAGGCACCTGCTGAGGTTCCTTCAGGGCCATTGATCAACACGACGTGAACACGTCCGTTTGTCGTCTCTACAGGGAAAAGCCAATGCATGGACGGGTTCCACCTGCCCAGGGATCGGTGAGGAAGGCCCCTTGCTGAGAATGGAGAAGCATTAAACCCACCACATTGTAAAAAGAGACACCAGACACGTCAGGACTCCCCAAAATATGGCAGAACGGATCCTGTCACCCCCAGCCAGCATCACTGCCACCCACTGGGGTAAGGACTTTGGGGCGAGGGGGTCTGCCGCCTCCGTGTGCCTCATTTGCATCAAGAGATGATGCTACCCCTCCCTGCTGGAGAGGGGTGGCTGCTTTCTTTCCACTTGGGTTTCAATGGATTGGGTTTCCCAGCGAATGGAGTAGAGCATTCACAGAATCACTGGTAACGAATGAGGGCGACTGCAAGGCTAGGAACCTGGCACCCATCCCACATTGGATCTGCTTAGATAGACGCAGCCTGGCTGACCAGGCCCGTTCCCAGCTGAGAAGAAGGCGACCGATGGACAGCAGGGCTTAGAGAAGCGTAGCACTTCCTCCATTGGACGTGTCAGCGAGACACAACTTCTCATGAGTCAGAGGAAAACGTCAGAGAAGAAAGATGGTCGGACTTGCGCCTTCTTCCTGCCTCACGAGGGGGACGCTGCTGGGTGCGGAGGTGGAGGACACCACGCATGGAGAAAGGTCCAGCGTTTGGACATTTGGACGTGGTGACCACAGCGGTGCCCGGCCTCAGCGAAAGCCAGGACCGTGTGGCCTGGTAGAGAAGGAGCACAAGTGTTTCCCCGTTATTTCTCCTTTCTGTCCGCCCTGGAGGAACCAGAGCCTAGGAGAGGGGTGGGGTGGAGGGTCCCAGCGGCAGACTTCAGCCAAGGTCCTCTCTGAGTTGTGGTGGTTGGTGCAGAGGAGGGCCGGCCAAGCCTGGAGGCCGGTCTGCCCTGGAGGGAGCGGGGAGATTACATTTAAATGGGGTTGACACTGACATCTTAAACTGGACTGGTTTCACTGACTGAGGGCCCAGGGTGGGAGTGAGGGATTGACAGAGCAGGGCTGACAGCTCACATTCAGAAAAAATTAAATGGCCGTGTTTAGTCCTCCACTGGAGGTCCACTGATAACGTTTACTTTCCAGTCAGATGATTCAGAATTCAAGGCCCCATTTCTTCTTAGTCACAAGAAAAGTTTAATTTCTCAGAATAGTCTCTCGTGTAAAGAAAAACAAAAAACCCAGGGAAGGGCGGTGCTTCCCTGGGAACAGGCACGTGGCTCCCACCGGCCCAGCTCTGCCATCCTGAATGGTCACCTTTGAACACAATGTAAAACCAGTGCCCTGGGAACCCTGCAGAGTGACCTGCAGCAGGAAGAGATGGGGGCGGGGAGCCAGGTGCCTGGAGGCTGTGGGCGGAGAGGACAGACAGGCAGAGAAAGCAAGATGCTAATTGTACAATGTAGACAGTGAGTGTGTGGGTACGTACTGTACAATTCAACTTTTCTGTATGTTTAAAGATTTTTATAATACGATGTTAGAGGGAAATATCAGAAAAATGAATTTGACTCCAGCAGTGAAAAATCCAGGTCATTCTTAAGTGTAGTTTTGCCTCAATCTCTGATACTGTGAATCTAATTGCACCCCAATATTTAACATGGGTAAGAGCTGAAGGTTCTTAGACTTCGCGTGAGAATAAAATAATTTATTTGTATGTATCTCCTGGTTTATTTCCAGTGACTAAGACCTTTTTGTCTCTTCTGTGTTGATGCTTTAGTAGTCCAGGGGTTGGTCAGAAAGTGTGGTTTTGTATGTCTCGGTATTTTGCGTCGGCCACCAAGGGCTGGCCAGAAAATATCCTTCAAGAGTTTTTAACTAATAGTTATAGATGAGCAATTGGGGTGAAAAAAAAAATGCTGCCAAGTGTAACAGCTTGGAGTCTTTTTACTTTTTGCAAGTAAATTCTAATGCTAATAATATTCAAAGAATCACCAAGCTGTTTCTTCAGTCAGTCATGTACGTAAATGTTTTTATGCTTTTTGGGGGAAAGGAGAAGGAAGATTCGGAGGAGAGGAAGAGAGAGAAGTTTGAAGCTGTTCGGGTTTATCTTCCCACATCAAGTCATCCTGTTGAGGTAAAAAAAATGCATACTTCTTTTATTAATTAGAACATTTTTAGTTCCACTCAATAGGTTGTTTATTTCATTACTGGGTGAGACCTACGAGGAATGGGTGAAAAACTGAGATGGAGTCAGTACAGCCAGGCTAACTTGAAATGGAGGCTCTATACTCAAGCTGGCAAAACTGGCTCGGGCCAAATGGACTGAAGCATAAGGAAACAATTCTGTTTTACTTGACCCTGGGAATTTAAACTTTTGAACTTCTCAGTCGTGCGTCCATGCCTGGAGATCCATGAATTCCCATAGACAGCTACCCTCTGGAGGACTTAGCAAAAAATGAAGAACTTATAAAGAATGTTCTCATCCTGACATGTGTACTCAGGCCTCAGCATCTGGAAGATAACCGCTTCTGACCAACCCAGAGACTGGGAATCTGGACTGTTCTTCTCAAGAATGTGCTTTTTTACGGTAAACAGTCTCAGCTTTCCTCTACGGAACTCTCGGTGTTAGCAGCTGGTGTTTCCCCACTCACAAATCTCAAGACCCTTGAATAACACTTTGCCATCAATTTCTAACCCAAGCCTCCTGACTCTGGGCTAGGTTGACACCGATAAGTAAAAAGCATTTCAAGTCCAATATTTAGGACACTGAGCACGTGAGGAAAATAGCAAAGCTTTCCTCTTCTTCCTCCTTCCTTCATGAAGGCGGACATCTCAAGAGAGATGGGTTTAGCGGAAAAGCTTGGTGACAGTGGGACCCTTCTAAACCTGCTCAAAATACTGAAGTGAATGAAAGGGCCACCGAAAGCAGAGTGCGTTTTTCACACCTGTGGTGTGAAAATAGAAGAGTATGAATGTAAGAAAAATGTGCTCCAGGAAAATGTGTTCTAAGAAATCTCAGTTCCTTAGCACTCACTTGTACCACAGATTATCAAAGGC